GTATAAAGCCCGCCCTGACAATTTGATTGGATCGCCTGACAGTGGGCGATCATACTCGCGCTACTATGGAGCAGAGCCAGACCGAACTTCCCCGAACTCAAACCTTGTGGGCGGGACTAAGTTCGGAATGGCACCCAGGCTAGTAAAAGGCGGCCCCGTCCAGGAAACACACAGCCAGGCAGACGAGCTCCGAGCCAGCGCCCATGTCAGAGGATGAAGAGAGAACATCCAGTTAGTCACAGTCAGAGAAACAGGACTACACTGGAAAAACATCTATAAACTGAGCTGATGCTTCTCTTTAGATCTTAATGTCCTCAAATCATGACAGAAAGAATATTTTAGTACAAAGATTGACGACCAGGCAAGGCAAGTCATCAAGGAAAGTGTGGAATTTTTGAATGGCTACTAATGTAAATAAATGAAGTCATTGGCTCAAACTTTTTGATCCAAATCAGCAGAAACCAAATGCATCTATGCTAATAAGCATTTGTAATTTTTTTTTTCAAGCATAATATCTTGTACAACACAATATGCACTTAGTAATAAGTTAATACTCTGTTACACATAATTAATAACATGTATTTACTATCCGTATTAAAGTTGTACCATTAAGGGATGTACTTAAAAAAAATGTATGGTATTTATTGCTATACAGATGAAAAAGTATTTTTATTTTGTCTTTTTATGAATACCACTTTGTGAATGATTATTTTCACCTGGATAAGAAAAGTGAAACAAAAAAAAGCTTATTCTGAATGATGAATGTCAGAGCTGTGTGCTCAGCGCGGCTCAGAGATGCTCTGGGACTGAGTGATTGGCTGCTGAGTGTGCTTAAGGCCATCCACAGGATTGTTAAGGACTGCTAAATGCCACTGCTCTCAAACACTCGGCCTCCCACCGCACACACAGCTCCAAGTCAAGTCGGTCAGAAAATACCAAAGATTAACACGTTTTCTTTACTGCCACTGTTCCTATGTTCACTTAATGTAGTGGGCGGGGGTGTATAGAAATTGATTGAGGCTCCTTGTTGCTAGGTGACCAGGAAATTGGGAGTTCCCGCCCTGAAGCAGGCGATGGAGTGGTTTGGTTACCACGGCGGCGCCTGCCGTTCTCCTCTACGGCCGCTCACAGAGGCAGAGACCCAGCAGCTGAGACGGGATTTCTCCACCAACGGATGGCTGTGAAATCAGAACACGTTTTTAACCTGTAGGAGTCTGAAACAGCAATAATAAAATCTATTTACTCTTTGATGATATCTGAATCCTTGTCTGTTTTGAGAATTAACTTTAAACATCTCAAAGAGCTGTGCCCATTGCATCATCGGGACATGGAAAAGGCATGACAGAACTGCTCTTATACTGACTTATACTGTCCGTCATTGGAGTCAGACTTCTGCTGAAAGTGAACACCTAATAATTACTAATACTATAAGAGCTGTTTTATTTAAAACATGTCCTCATAAACTACTCTCCGTCTGTATGTTGAACGTTTTGTGGGTCCAGTTTTAATAGAATACGGGCTCCAAAAAATCAGAGCAGCTTTAGATGAAAATAAATGCTATGGCTTACTGAAACAATGCCACATTACTACGGACTGTCGAGTGAAAAAAGTATTCAACTATTCATCCTAGTTAAATAAACTGAGATCGATGGATTTCACTCAGTCGGCACATTTATTCATATCTCTGCAAAGAGAGAACAGTCATCATGAAGTCCTTATGGCACAGCATTCTGCTCTGTTCTGCTAGAGCAGGGTTCGTCCCCCCTTACTTAGAACACTGCAAAAGTAGTCAAAGTCATAACAAATTACAGACACTTTGGTTAACAGTAACATGTTATAAATAAACCTTGAGAAAGAATCTAGTTTGTTATGGGAAGAAGCTATGTCTGGTCTACAAACACCATCCTGCAGAGAATTGTGTGGCATAGGACATTTCTGGAACACCTCCTGAGAGAGGTGACCAGGTAGGACATTCTGCTAAATATTACTATACCTACAGCTGGATAATCCCTAAAACATTTAAACCAGCCACCTCAGCGGGCTCCTTTCGACATGTAGAGTCTTTTTCAATGGACAGGCAGTGATTTTAAATGTTGTGAGTTATGCTAGTGAAGATTCTCAGTCATCCAGGTCATAGTCATTACATAAAAGTAAAAAACTTTGTTTAAAGATGTTTCGCTGTGGGAACGTCAGTGGGAGATTGCTCCTCTCCAAATGCAGGATCAACAGACTGCTGAACTCCTTTGTTACCCAAGCCATCAAACTGAACATGACCTATTGTCACTCCTGTGCAATATTCTTCTCACTGTGCAATAACACATGCAAACTATTTTGTAGCCTGTGTAATTTTCTACCTATTTATAAGATGAATACAAGTGCAACAATCCAAGTCAACTACTGTGTAGTATGCTGGTGAAGATTATCAGTCTGTGGACTGTGATTACTGTGTAGTCTGTATAATTTCCACTTATTTATATGGTCAGTACATTTCTGCAGTGCAAATGCAATAACTCAATTTAACTACTATGTAGTCCTGCTTAGCTCTCTGCTGTGCACATAGTTTTATATCTAAAGGAAACAGAATCCAGGACATTACAATTCTTTTTTTTTATACTATATACAATCTTTTTATATTGTCTGTCGTATTTTGATCTTTAATGGCATCTTACTTTAATTCTTTGTACTCTATATAAGCTACTGGAATCAGGATATTCCTGATGGAGTAATCCCAAGGGATAAATAAAGTTAAGTCTAAGTCAACTTGGAACAGAAACACACTTCTTTATAGTACATTTCTAGAAAAGAAATGAACATTTTCATTACTGGCTGTTTGAAAAAGGTAATAATGGCCGAAGAAGGCAGATATAGAGAGCAGATAGAGGAGGGTGAAGAGAAACTGGATGTTTGTAGTCGGTGTCATCATTGCTTATAATAAAAAACAACACAAATATGACTTTTTATTTTTTTTGTTTTCCTTTTTTTTTTGTTTTTTACCAGTAGTGTTAGTAATTGTGGAGACCCTTGTATCCTACTGTTAACAGGTGCTTCTACTGGGATCCGGAGCCAGTATCACCAGAGCCTTTTCTGTGTAAGCCTTTGTCTGTTCTCCTTTGACATTCTTGTGTAATGGCATTATATGTGCGTGTCTCATTAAGCGGCTATCTGCTCAGCTGTAAAGGTTGGACTTTTTCTCAAAACCTCAAACACAGACATGATGAAGGTTTTCACAGAGACTTCAGATCAGCCACAGTTCAGTGGGAGGCAGGGCTGTAGGTCACCGCTGCAGTTTGCTGCAGAATGCCAGAGCACTCTTTGATGTGAAAAAGTTAAAAACCATAATTACAGTAATTAAAGCCAAGTATGGCAGGTAGCCATGGCAATGGCAGCCTTTGGCTTTTCCCACACAACAGTTGCTTTGCTTTTATCTTACCAAGAGCCCAATTAGCACCTTTTGTAGCTGGAGATATTTTCAGAACTGCCTACCGGATCATAAAGAAAGGATGTGATGTGTTTTCCTCTGTTCCTGTGTGACAAGGACGCGTCAGTGGAGGAAAGCTCTCAGTGCAAACAGTCAGAGAAACCATTCAGTTTGAAGTCACAAACTGCCTGTATTATTGCCCATCAAGGACAGCTTGTGTTTATTGGAGGAATTCATGCCAGAAATGTCCTTTGCCCTCTGAGTTAAATGTTTTATGATTTGAGGTGTTTTAGTTTAGTTTTTTTTNCGATTTCCTCCGCATCCGCGAAAGAAATTGTTGGCAAACTAAGTAAGGATGACGAAAAGCACCGGAGGAGAGACATTTTTTAGAGTAAAACAGGAAGTGCTCCAGCCCTTTCAGACGCAGCTTCCGGTTGTCGTGAAAAAGGTATATTTCTCATGAAAAGGTTTGCTTAGTGAACAAGAGAATAACAACTGCCCTCTCTTGGTCCATACGCCTTATTGGTTGGCTCTCATAATACACAACGTTGTCTGTTCGGTTTTCTACATTTTTTGGGAGAAAGTGTTTAAAAACCAAAATGTTCATTTCTTTTACTTGTTTAGGGGTTGAGAAAATTATTTGGACCACTACATTTTATTGAACATATTGTCCTGCTTGTTACTGCTAAGACATTCTCTATTAGTGTTCAAATGTAGTGAAATATCTTATGTTTTGTTTGTATTTTTACAAGGTCTGCTCAGTGGCGCAGTGGGTAGCACTGCTGCCAGCAGTTTGCATATCAGCCAGGTTTAGGAGTGTAGGACTCCATCCTCTACCTACTACACCAAGTCCACTCCAACCTGGATAAGGGAAGTCCCACAGCAAGGATTCTTTTCCTGGACTTCTCAAGTGCATTAAGCACCATCCAGCCCTCCCTGCTCAGGGACAAACTGAATAGAAAGGGAGTTGACCCCTGCCTGGTGGCATGGATCTCCAGCTACCTCACAGACAGGCTACAGTATGTCAGGCTGAAAGACACTATCTCTGAAACTGTGATCAGCAGCAGTGGAGTCCCCCACGGGGAACAGTGCTCGCCCCTGTCCTCTTCACCTTATAAACCTCAGACTCCTCTTACAACTCTGAGCTGTGTTACATTCAGAAGTACGCAGATGACACAGCCTTTGTGGGATGTATCAGGGACAAGAAAGAGGAGTACTGGAGTCTGGTGGGGGACTTTGTCACCTGGTGCTGCACAACCGCCTGGAACTCAATATCTCCAAGACGAAGGAGCTGGTCATAGACTTTGGGAGGATGGACCAAAGACTAAGGCTGTACTACTGGAGGGGGCTGAGGTGGAGGCTGTGGATTCATACAAAGACCTTGGGGTGTTGCTGGACAATTAACTGGACTGGTCAACACACACCAACCACCCGAGTAGGAGACTTGAGGCCGTTTAACATCTGTAATTAGCTGCTGGAGATGTTCTACCAATCCATTGATGGCAGTGTTCTCTTCTACACCATGGTTTGCTTGGGGAGCAGCACATCCATGAAGGACACCTCCAGACTGGACAAACTGGTCAAGCTAGCCATCTCTGTGATTGGCAAGAAGCTGGACCTTTTGGGGATGATGGCAAAGACAAGGACACTTAACAACCTCTTGGACATTATGAACAATGCCAGCCACCCTCTGCACACTGTCTTCACCACCCAGAGCCTGATCAGTGGGAGATTGCTCCTCTCCAAATGCAGGATCAACAGACTCCTGAACTCCTTTGTTACCCAAGCCATCAAGCTGTACACCTCCTCACTTTGGGGGAAGGAGGAGATGATAGGAAGAGGGACAAGGGTCAGCACCCCCTCTCCTTGGACACCTTATGAAAAACATGACCTATTGTCACTCATGTGCAATATTCTTCTCACTGTGCAATAACACATGCAAACTATTTTGTAGCCTGTGTAATTTTCTACCTATTTATAAGATGAATACAAGTGCAACAATCCAAGTCAACTACTGTGTAGTATGCTGGTGAAGATTATCAGTCTGTGGACTGTGATTACTGTGTAGTCTGTATAATTTCCACTTATTTATATGGTCAGTACATTTCTGCAGTGCAAATGCAATAACTCAATTTAACTACTATGTAGTCCTGCTTAGCTCTCTGCTGTGCACATAGTTTTATATCTAAAGGAAACAGAATCCAGGACATTACAATTCTTTTTTTTTATACTATATACAATCTTTTTATATTGTCTGTCGTATTTTGATCTTTAATGGCATCTTACTTTAATTCTTTGTACTCTATATAAGCTACTGGAATCAGGATATTCCTGATGGAGTAATCCCAAGGGATAAATAAAGTTAAGTCTAAGTCAACTTGGAACAGAAACACACTTCTTTATAGTACATTTCTAGAAAAGAAATGAACATTTTCATTACTGGCTGTTTGAAAAAGGTAATAATGGCCGAAGAAGGCAGATATAGAGAGCAGATAGAGGAGGGTGAAGAGAAACTGGATGTTTGTAGTCGGTGTCATCATTGCTTATAATAAAAAACAACACAAATATGACTTTTTATTTTTTTTGTTTTCCTTTTTTTTTTGTTTTTTACCAGTAGTGTTAGTAATTGTGGAGACCCTTGTATCCTACTGTTAACAGGTGCTTCTACTGGGATCCGGAGCCAGTATCACCAGAGCCTTTTCTGTGTAAGCCTTTGTCTGTTCTCCTTTGACATTCTTGTGTAATGGCATTATATGTGCGTGTCTCATTAAGCGGCTATCTGCTCAGCTGTAAAGGTTGGACTTTTTCTCAAAACCTCAAACACAGACATGATGA